TCAACCTGACATAATCCAAACCCGAAGGTGTAGGAGTATCCGAAGTGGATCCAAGATAGTTCTTAAATGACTCTAAGGTGGTTCCAAGGTTGAGGGTCGAGCTTCCGAGGCATCGCTTGCACTAAGACCGATGTCGAAAAAAATTTCCTAACTCAATCCCTTCGACATTCAAATTAGTCTGAGGTCCTTTCTCAGGTATGAGATTTTCTCGAAAAGAGAATCCATCGACACAACATCGACAACTTTTATACTTGATTTGCGAAAGGGATAACTTACAATTGCCCCAACATCCTCTTTTGATGATTTGGCCAAATGGGCGAGAAAAAAGAGACGTATCCGAATCGCCTCCCTTGGACTATTATCCATAGGGGCGGATGGATGAAGGGTGACTGAAACCTTTTCCTTCCGTGCCCGTCTGATGACAAATGTCAAATAGTAATTAACCACTAACATATTCCCTACCCCACTTTAAATTTTGATAAGAGATGCAGAGAAAGAAAAAATAATCTTGTCACAGTTTATGCAGATTTGTGTAATGTTCGGATGAAAAAAAGGAAATAAAAAAACACTTCTGCACCATAAAAAGCAAGAAAAAAGAACAATTAGAAGTGAATAATACAGCAGATGATGTCCTTGATAATCCAATGACCGAGTCTCATTAATCTTCTTCAAATTATACAACAGGCTGCTGGATGATTATCTGAGAGAGAGGTTTCTCATATTCACCAGTTCTTTTCTACCTCAGATCAATGCTAATAACCATGTCTAATCCTATGGATTCCAGCAAAGCATATTATTACTTGCTATCCTCTTCTTTTCCTTTTCCTTTTCCTCTAATCCATATTCTTCTGGAACAAGGATGTGACGTCATTCTCTTGAGCAAGTAGGTCTTCGGAACCTTTATCTCCACTATTTCAAGAAATCAAAACAGTGCCCTTATATTGCATTATGCTTTTCCTTCCAACACAAACTATGAGAACTATCATGTGATAACAAAGTACCATTGTCAGAACAAAATCATGCTCAAAACCCTTGCATTTCTCATCCATGTGACAGCCCAAAATGAATCTAAAAGAATGACTGCAATTAAAACATAAGGTAGGGTGATACCGATGCGCGATGCTCCCACCAACCAAACCAATGTGGGGTCCGAAAAGGGCGAACCCTATTTACTTCTAACAGAAGCAGATGAACAATGGAGAAATAAGACCTTTATCTACATGTCTACACCAATGACTATCCAAATCATTGAGTTGATACAGTAAACTTTAGAAAGATTACCTTCACGTTTGTTCATCAGAAACAACAATCTGCGGCTGCAAGTGATCTTGATCCCCTGTGAACTGTCTAAAGAAGGCTCTCCTCCACCACACCTCAAAGGCTCTCTGAATGTTGGGGCAATTGTCACCTTTGCTCAGAAAACAATCAAACCATCTCAATAAGATTTCTTGTTGTTCTGCCATGGGTAATGTTAAGATGGTTGCAGAGAGCCCATCCTCTATCAACTTCTTGTCGAACATCCTGCAAGCTCTCTTCATCCAACTAAAATCTTCGTAAAGCGCTTCCAGCCATGTCCTTAGAAGAGAAATTTTTGCGTCCTTTGTCACCAGAATCTGCCCTCTCCCAATCGCAATGCACAACTGAGCAGTGATCCTGCTGATCTCAAATCTATACATGCATGGTATCTTGGAATGCCAGGTAGAGAGCTCACTCTGATCAGCCCACAGAGCCACAAATTCATCAGCAATCCTCTTGTTTATCAGAATATCAACAAGCCACTGCACATTGTCAGCTTCTCGAGCAACCTCACCCATCAAGGAGGCTCGATCCCCGTGACCTTCACCAAAATTTGCAGCCTCGGACAAGAGCTGCAAAAGACAATCAAGGCATTTATGGCACAGGTGGTAGAGGGTTTCCCTTGAGATCTCAAGCTTGTTGTAGTGCATATTGTTTTGATCTAGGTCTTCTCTGAGCAAACGAGCTATTAAGGCTTTCATGTCTCGCCGAGCTTTCTTATCTTTGGCTTGTAGAACACCATCAAGAATCCCTAGGTATATGGAGTCAGTATTTGCAGAAGTAGATGGCTCCACTGAGACTCTTTGCAGGATTCCTCTGATTGGTTCACAGACCTGCTGAATCTGAAGCTTGCCAAGGGTAGATACTACCTTCTCCTCCTCAGCCTCAGACCAAGGAATGGCTTCCAAGTAGTCGAGGCATGCCAAAATTCCATCATCAAATTGTATATCCACAGAAACCTGAGGGCAGATTCAAAAGAGATGTGTTACTTTCTGCGGTGCAACCTTAAGGAGATACTTCTCAGTTTATTGATGCAAAAGGAGATGATTCTACTTATTGCATTCAAACATAAAAGAAACTATTTGACACAATGTAAACTGCAAGAAACATAAGTAAACAACTTCTGTTCTTCCTATTTCGATTATATCAATCCCACAGCAGAACCAACTCCAAAAACAGAACATTAAGAATGCCCCAACTAAATGTGTACCCACTTTGTTTCTTCAATTATTCGATGACAATCACACATTACTTCATCACTGTGCAAATTAGAGTGCATGTTCCTTTTACACAACTCAATATCAATTTTGACATACTAAAAGCAGCTACAAGAAAATCCAAAGTGTTGTTTTTCAGTTAAGATTCATGGAACACCAGTGAAAGGACTACCCTCAAATTTGATCTTCTTGCAAAGAAACTTACTGCTGTGCATAAAATTTGGCTCTGCTGGTACATGAACTTACAACAAATGAACTATTTACCCTAGCCATTCATTCTGGTCAGTAATGGTTGGTTGACATAGACAAATGCTGCATTGCTGGCCCTTAGCAAACCCAGTACATTTGACCTCAATGTTGATGTGGGGTAAAAAATAGTATGATGTTAGCTGACATGGGGATAAATCGAGTTGGTGCCAACATGGCACATGCGTGTATATGTCATCCGCATCGGCACCACTTGGCATGCAGCTATGGTACTCATCAACCTTGTGTAGGGCCGAGAAGTGCCACGTTGATGCTGTGTAAGCTGCCACGTTCGCTGCCACATCAGCATCAACTCGTTGATGAATTGTGATTACTTATATTTTTAGTCCAAGCTTGTCGATCCATTTGTCTACATCAACCTTTTGGTTAATCGTTATATGCCGTGACCAGTACATGTGTTGAAAGCAAAGTGTCTACTTTGCACAATGCTTAAAGGTTTATAAGGGAATGTAGAAAAGAGTGCTTATCTTTTTTGGTTTGCTTTCTTCAAACCCTAAAAAGATAAGCTAATTTTCTTGCAGGAATCTGATTCGGAAGCAAAAGAGAGCACAAACAATCCCTCATTCTTCGATCAATCTCTTTAGCTAAAAGATTTGGGGGTAAAAGAAGAAAGAATTAGGAGAGAAACGTGTAGTTACCTTGAGCAATCCAAGAACCTTGTCCACGTCCTCGCCGGCCAGACTCCGCCTGGGATCGCCCGAGTACATGAGCCCCACCGCCTCCACGTACGCCTCCGCGTCGTCGCACTCGCAGATCTCCACCGCCACCGGGCGCCCCGGCCGGCCGCCGACCCCCGCCAGCTTCTCCGCGAAGAATCGGCTCCGCGCCGCCAGTACCCGGCGATGGGCCGTCACCGTCACACGGAACCCGTCGCTGGAGCTGACGGAGAGCTCCATGTCGCCGGGGCCCTCCCTGGCGAGGATCGCCGCGATCTTCTCCTGCAGACGGAGCCGATTCTGGTCGCCGGAGGGCTGCCGCGGCGGGGGGTAGGTCCGGTGGGGGACGCCCTCCTGTGACATCATCTCGAAGAGCGTGGAAGTCTTGGGGGACGGAAACGAAGGGCGCGGAGGGGAAGGGCTAGCAGGGCTGAGGGAAGCCGGCGGAGGAGATGAAGTGGGGGAGAGACCGGGGGAGGAGATGAAGCCTTGGCGTATCATGGCAGAGACCTCGCCGGACTTCAACAGGTTCTCCGCCACAGCCGCCATGCGGGCACGAGCGAGATCGCGGGTCCGGGTGTTCCTCCGCCTCCGCCTCCGCCGGTCGTAATCTGGAGAAGAGCTTACAGCGGCGTCTCGTCCGAACAGCCTCGAAAACGACGCCTTAAAGAGAATGTTAGAGGTCCACGAAGGATTATTCTCACGACGGTGAGCGGATCCGTCTGTTATAATATCAAGACTGCCGAGACAGCGAAAATAACGTGTCACTCATTTTTTATCCTCTGTGACGACAAAGAACACAGAACAACTCAACTCACCAACCATAGATCGACACGTATAACAAGTCTCCAAAGCAGCTCATCGAGAGGGCTGTTTGCTGTCATTATAAACCCTTGAGGAAATATATTGACTATCGTAGTGGTTAGAGCAAGTAATACTACAGCACAACTCAAAGCCATTGGTTTATATAGTATTAACAACAATGAGGGCTGCAATGGATAGTGACATGACAAAGTATTTACACAGTATTTGCATGGAGAGAGTTCAACATTGAACATGTTGGCTCTGAGTCACATCACAGTATCTCTTCTGGCCTCATTGCATCAATGATTCTAATATCAGTCACATCCCATCAGCTCAGCTGTCCTTATTAACCAATGGTTCATGCACAACCCATTTGCTGTTGTCCTTGTGTTTGTGTACAAACAAATCAACCTACTTACATCAAAAGCTTCCAAAGTTTCAAGTTTGTCCATCTTCAGTCCTAGATGGAATGGATTGCCTCCCATTGCACTTGTCCTCCAAGCTTCTCATCAACACTATTCCATGGTGATACTCCACAGTTACACCATCTTTATGCATCAAAACAATCACTTCAGTTCAATACTGTCTCCATCATCTCCTCCTAGGCATGACAGAAAGCATGCTAGACTGTGGCAGTCATTATACTTCTGGTTCAGAAATGAAGTTTATTTATTTCTTCAGTGTCACTAATTTTTTCCTCTCCTCATGCTTTATATTTGTATTCTTTATACCTGTATAACTCTTGAACACATGATCTTAATTTTTTTTCAATATCATTTCATTTAAAAACTTAAGCTAGTAGATGAGATATTACCTAGATACTTATGTTCTTAACAAAATATAATAATATCAAAGAACAGAAATAGTGATCATGGGAAAAATGCAACCTTGAGAACATACAAGGAGAAAGAAAATGAGAAAGGGAAGAAGATGATAAGGGAGAATAGGCCAGAGAGATGCCAAGGCAAAGTCATCAGGAGAAGAAAGAGGAGAGAGGGAAAGTGGGAGAATATACCATCCTCAACCTGCTGAAAACTCCTACACAGTGTGACACTGAAGCCATCTCATGTAATAAAATTCCACAATCAGATGTTATGTGGTTCTTGCATATGTTCATCTCTTCATGTGAGACAATAGATACATTGGCATTGGTACATCAATCTTGTGAGCAAAAGGTTAAAGAATATATATTAGTCAGATTCACTTCAAATCAGAAATAAGAGCAGGTAGAATTGTGTGCTATTATGATGGTAATAGGAATTTGAATCTGTGACACTGTTCTACGATAAATTGCACAAAGTGATAGCAACCTTGCCGATATAAAAAGTGTGGTAAACATAAAGTTGAACTTCAACATGAACAAGAAGAAAGTTCCAACCACATTATTTTTAATGGTAATGTCAAAATCTTTTTCCCTAACTCTTCTACGAATCAAAAACTATAACATAGGGGCATAGTGACAGACATTAATGACCAGACACATATTAAAAACCAATCATAAAACTCATGAGAACCAAAATCTCCATGTCAAGAGCATAGCGACGTTTATGACAACATACTTGAAACAAGATTTCGAGATGTGCAGATAAATAGACTCCTAAGCCTGGAGGCAACAGAAGCATACCATTCAGGATATCCTTGCATTCTTCAAAGTTTTACATGTAACCATGCCTCCAGATGTCCTCATAGGGTGGATGCCCAGAACAGCCACACAATCATCTGTGGATTTCAGATGAGGTTGAACAGACTCCCATATCTTTTTCTTTTGGACCTGTGGCGTGGCAAGGGAGCAGATGGTAAATGCCCAAAGAACAGCAAGCAATATTGTCAAACATCTCATCAGCAACAACAACATTAGCATGTCGAAGCCCACAACATAGTTGGCAAGACCATCGAACAAGTTACATTTCCCATGAGACTGAAGTTGATTTAGTTGGGAAAGAAAACTATTTCTTTGCTGCCACAAATAAGACAAACTTACTTTGCTAAACCTTTCAAATAGGCTATATGGTCCATCAAAAATGAAGTCTCATGTGCATCCATAAATGATCCACAAGAGACACTATTATCTAAATTCATATTGCAAGCCAGCCTAGCTGATAAAAACTGCCACAACATATTGCATCATATGGACACATTGTCCAGAATCATGCTGCAAGCCAGCTTAGTTGAAAAAAAACTGAGAAGGTCATGAATCAATATCTTTTAGTCTCTGGGAGTATATTTAATCATAAATCAGTATAACTAAATAAGTATTTTAGGGGGGGTGCATATATATGAAAGAATATAAAAATTATAGGAAGCATCATGATATTTGCAACTTTTAAGAATACATATGAAGTTGCCCCTGAAAAATTGAAGCCAACTATCCATCTTTTTCAACCATCAAAATTAACTTTTGTCAGAATAAGAACTTTAAACAATTAGGAGACAGGAAACCAACTATTCAAAAACTGATGCACCTTGATCAGCCATGCAATTGAAAAGCAACCTTCTATGGTCGTTCACAAACAGAAAACCTCCTGTATGAGAATTTGGCAAGTCTGCTACAGGGAGCAATATACATCTGATAGAGATAGATAAGGACAAATGCCAATGGAACAACCCAACATAGTGATGGGAAAGGTTAATAAAATGTCTACATCATCATAATTTTTGTAATTGTGGTAACTCATTTTCCGATGATAAGGGGGTGTATAAAAGGCATTCACATATTAAGACACCAAAAATAGATATCATTAATCTTTAATCCAAATTTTTCAAGAAGCTAAGGAATGGACCTATGCTACCTATATGCAGCTAGAATAGTCATAAGGTATCCACATACCGTCAATATGCTGTTGGATTATATGCTGTCACATAAGTAACAGCATACAGAAGGTTAAAAATCCTGATATCCAAAGGCCTTACCTGATTAGGAGATGCAGCATCAGGTTGCTTATCTTTGTCATCCTCTGAGCCGAACCAAATTCTTTCACCAGGGATTGAACCTTCGGGAGGTATAAGAAGCTCAACATTTTCATGAGATTCATCAGAAGCAGCCATAAGCATTCCATTTGACTTGATTCCTCGCATGTTCCTGGGCTTCAGGTTAGCAAGAACGACAACTTTGATGTCCTGCACATGAACACATCAATAGCTACTTCAGTATCTTTTAGTAATAAAAGCTATTTCTTATCACAGTAGAAATTGCACTTGTTCTGCATCAACCAATCAAAGAGTCTGACTAGCGAGGAGAATTCAGAATATGGGTGAAAAAAAGCAAATGGCACATTTTTCCTTTCTTTGTAGTCAAAGTCGCTATAAAACATTGTAAGCCATAACAATTCTTCCGAGCAAGGTAGTTAAAAGCAATTTATCAGTTCACTCCTTTTTTTTGTTCTCATGATTAATCACCTTCACAATATAGTATGTACAATTAGTTGAATCTCCATTCCATATTTAGATCTCACTGGCAGAACTAAAAACAAAATAATAGAAGATCACATATAAGCTCTGGCCTCAATTAATAGTGAAAATGTTAATGAAGAGAAAGATTCTTGATTTAATATGACGCTCAATGGATGTCATGATAGAAAATCCATGTACACACAGAAAATGAAAGAAAAAACTAAGCACACTTCTTGATTACAGACTCCAATCAGATAACAAAAGGAGAAAAAAAATCACAATGGCTAAGTGTATGGCAGCTGCATCTTAAGAGAAAACATAAAAGCCAGGTGAATCTTATTAGTGATACAGTAACCTACTCAACACAACCTAGAAAATGGAGACACACAGGAGAAGACCAATAAGAAAATCAAATGAACTATTACTCAGGCTATTTAGATTTCAAGAACAATGGATAGCCATAAAAATTAGAAAAGAAGAGATAAGTGAATGCAAATTTCTATGTCACATACATGGGATAAAATGAATTTTTTTATGGTGTTAAAGAAGACAATTACTACTAATCCATCTCAGAAAAAAGTCTCTAACATGAATAATTCTACACTGTGTAACGAGGTCATCTCAATGAAATTATAGAGCAAAACATACTCATATACACCTCCACCCTGCGTCTTCCTAATCATAACCGATATAAAATCTGATTGCTCACTATGCGTCTTTTGACTGTTTGAAGCACAAGAACATTAACCAGTTTTTAGTGATTACCGCAGCAGGTGAAAGCTAAACCCACTGCAAAATTTTGATTGTAAACATCTGTAACGAACTCCAAGAAGGATTAGCACACAACTAATTCATAAATCAAAACCCAAGTTTCACCAAGATTCTCAATTGGCATTAAAAGATAAACCACCAATATCAGGGCGCAGCTAAAAATACAGGACGATTGGATGTATAACCATGTGGCCGCTATGTTAAGCATCGTTTTACATACAAGCATATATACAAACACATGGCGATCAAAAACAAGGGGTGAAAGAAAAGAATAAAACCTGGAGGTGCTCCAAAGGAATGTAGTTGACGAGACCGCTACAGATGGTCCTCGGCTCCGGCTCGCCGACGTCCACTTCCTCCACATACAGGGAATCGGCCTCGGGGTGCCTCCACGCCTTGAGGATGCGCCCGACCCGGATGTCCAGCGCGTCGGCCGACTCACGAAGCGGGTCCGGAGGGGGACCAGGAGGAGCGCCTTCCTCCGCCGTCGCACTGGCGGCCTCGGCGGCCGTCGACTGAGGGGAGTCGGAGCAGTATAGTCTCGCCGTTCGAGAGGAGCGGAGGAGCGAGAAGTGGCGGCCGGTGAAGGTCCCTTGGGAGCGGACGATGGAGAAGCAACGGGCAGAGACGGAGACCATTTTATTGTGATGGAGGCGGGTATTGATGGTAGAGATGAAGAGCGCCGCGCCGCCCCTCGAGATGGCGGCCGCCATCTGCACGTTCGCCTTCGGTGACTTCGGGTAGCACAAGCGTCAAGGAAGGCGCAGGGATTGGATCACGTTATCCTGGAATGGAATCGCAAACGAGTAAAATGGTATGAGATAACGGCAGTTACGTTAGTGTGACCGAAGCGGCCGACTGGACTTAGTTTCCGACATACAAGACAGTCGGCTAATTACATATTACTCCTATAATTAATTATATTAAATATTTTAATTTATATATTTTAAAAAAATATATATATTAAATTTTTTTATATATTTATGAAAGTGAGATATTTAATGTCGTTTCTATTTATGAAAGTTGTACTAGCGAAAGATATTATATTTGTTGTAAATAATATTATAAAAAAGATAAAAAGATAATTTACTCTTATATAAAAGCTTTGTTATCCTTCTTCCACTTCATCCTCCTCTCAAACTTTGCTATCCTATTCAGTTTATCTTTCTTCTCCTATTTTTCCTTTTTCCTTGGCCCTCTTCAAGATCAAGGCTACCTCCATTGTACACTTTAAGCTCTTGGCCCTCTTAGAGAAAGAAGACCTTCCCGACGACTTTGAGTTCAATGTTGAGATCGACGTTGCTACGAGAGCATAGAAGAAGGCCATATACTTCGTCCCTCACAAATTCATCGACAATTGGGTTGACCTTGAAGTGTATAACTATTGTAATATCTTCTACATTGCAATGCTTGATAAACTCTCGATGACGTCTATATCGTCGGGTACCTCCCAATGTTACCCTCTTGATTAATGTTACCCTCCTCCATATCAACTCCAATCGCTTCTGTAACATCATCCCCTAAATCATCTCTCATCTCAAACTCCTCCATAAGCTCAATGCTAGCGACGATTGCTACTTCGACCCATTCCCGGACATTGGCCTTCACCTGTTGTCGCTTAAGTACCTTGACCTTCGGTTCAATAACTTCGAGGGAGAATTGTTGCAGGTGCTTTTCAACAAGGAGTTCAATATAATATTCTTGAACAACAACTGTTTCACCCCTCTCACTTGCTCGACAACTTCAGTAATTCTAAAGCCTTCATCATCGTCATCGCCAACAATAAAATCCATAGCTACCTTCGGAGCAACATCGATAAGATGACGATCACCCTCAACAAGCTTGTTTTGATGAACAAGCTTTCGAGATTTAATTAAACTTTTTCCTTTGATAGATCGTTTAGGAGGATAACAAAGCGGAAGGAGAGGACGAAGCTATGATTTTAGTATCATTTTCTATACCTGACAACATGTGCAAGAAAAACTAAAATTAAATATTTTACTTTTATAAGTATAGAGATCTTAATATATTTTTTTAAAATATAAAAGATCCACACATATCTTAAAAGGATGAAAATCTATAATTAACCATCTTCTACACCCATCCAAAGCTCACGTCAGCAATCATGTCACGAACCTTAAAACATTTGCAAGCATATAAAAGCATTCCCAGCATGTTAATCATCCACATTGATGATATAAGTTTGCACACATCGAAGGCACCATTTGCAAGCATATAAAAGCATTCCCAGCATGTTAATCATACACATTGATGATATAAGTTTGCACACATCGAAGTCACTATGGTCGTTGCAAATGATAGATGATTATCCAACCTACCAGAAATATAAATTAAATCATATCTCGTCTCTCATTTAAATTTTAAGATGTAATGGCATTGATCATGTCAAAACATACCCAATCATCCAAATTAAAAATATTAAAGATTATATCTCTAATTAATTCCCACATGTAAGATCGAACTATATATCGATTTAAACTTTTAGATGCAATGACATCGATACAAAAAATTCAAAAATCAGAATCATTTTAATCTCCTGCCTATGTATCTCTCAGTAGAACAAGCATGAAGACAACAAACAGACAAGAAACCAATGTTTAGAAGGTATTAGTTCAAACATTGTGTTTGTCCTCAACCCATTGGAGAGAGACATCAACGAACACAGGATCCTCACAAGCATCTACTTAAAAAGGTACATCCTATATCATTAGAAAGAAACTGAATTCGTGATCACTGGTCCTCTCCTGATTCCTTCTTTGGAGCTTCCTTGATCTCATCAGCTCCATCCTCCTGTCAGGCAAAAACTAGTGTGATGACACTCCGTCTGTTGTCAACAGATTTCAGCACCAACAAATTAGAGGAAGTAACACTGACCGTAATATCAGAGGTCCATAATGTCAAGTTGTCTCGAAGAAGCTGCATAATCAAAGTACTGTCTTTGTATGATTCTTCACCCAATGTATCCAGCTCAGAAATTGCCTCATCAAATGCCTGAAAAGGATGCCAAAGTAGAATGTTCAAGAAGACATTGATAAATGAGTCAACCAAATTATCAGATCGCGAGCTGGTAAGCCAGGAATCCGATGATACAATGAATGGATCACCAACAGAAACAAAGATCCCCAGTCAACAAACTAGATACTTGGACGAACTTCTGAAATGCATGGATGAAAGATGAGAATAGAAATACAAGTTGCAGGTTAAGATAAGATAACATTTCTTTGGCAAAAGTCAACATAAATTATTTCAATTTGTGTGTACAATATGCAGTTAAAAGTCTGCACGTTCATGTGCAAACACTGATAGAAATGTGTTATATGATTACCTCTATAAAGAAATTCAAGTCAAATTATACCATCCAAGCACATGCATAATCACAAGAGAGACTAGACAAATAGAGGAACCACACTCCCAAGAAGCCAAATGTCTTCACGTGAATGCATATAAAATCAATAATAAATTATATTAAGGACATTCGATTTATACACAAAGTAATGGGGTTCAGGTAGCCCAATCTTGTACATGTAATATCTGGAAGAAAGCAGAATTATAGAGAAATTTATCACTAAGGATGCAAAACAAGATGTGAGGTTGGAAGGATTGCAGTAAACAAGATAGAAGATTATAACTACAAGGAACATATTATATGAGTATACAATAGAAGAAGGGCTAGCTGGCCATTAACAGGAACTCCTTATTAAACTTCTTATAAGGTTATAAAAGCCCCTTTTATAGGCTAAATCTCACACTTGGTAGGGTTCTCAATAAAAGATCCTTACAGGATAAAAACACCTATTTAGAAAAATTGTACAACGAATCATGTATAATGGGTCATCTGGATCTTTAAAAGAATGATTCCTTTCGGACTAACAAAGAAGTCTACATGGAATAAGGCTTTCATGCATCATTTTAACAAAATTTCTTAAATATCATTTCAAAAAAGTGATGATAATCAGCCAAATTTTATGGAAAAATGATAAACTCAACTTAACTGAACCAATTTTATCATGATTTTACTTATGCTTTAAACAATTGAATCATCGCGGCTGTTTTTCCGCTGGAGGTTCTTGAATCCCCAACTCAATCTTCAAATAGGGTGATGAAGTGTGATTCCTGTGCTTTATATGTTATCCTCCAATTTGGACGCAATACCATGTTTTTCCAGGTAAACATATGCAAGCGAAAAATAGACATCACATCAAGTCAAATATATAATGAATTATTATAGAATGTCAATTAAAGTATTTACTAAACATTGCACGACACCATATGGAAACAGGAGGGATCTGTGAGATAAACCTGCTTCGCAAGGCTGCAAGCACGATCTGGTGAGTTAAGAATTTCATAGTAGAACACAGAGAAGTTAAGTGCCAACCCCAGCCTTATCGGATGAGTTGAAGCTAATTCAGCTAAAGCAATATCCTGTCAAAAATTTTGCCAAAATATCAAATTTGAACCAAATTTATAAGAATGTTTTCTGGAAAGATTGTAAAGAACAAATTGCATGTAAATGTTACGTACCTGAGCAGATTTGTAAGCCGAAAGTGTGCTCTCGGCTGCTTCTTTCCTCTCAGCTCCAGTCTTGAACTCTGCCAGGTACCTAAGCACAACAACAGAGCAAAATCATAATTATCAAATTATTAAAATATGAAAATAACGCTTCTTTTCTGACAAAATTTATTATTTTTCTCAAAGGAATACGCTTCTTCTAACCTGTGGTAGTCACCATTCATCTTAAGGTAAAAGACCTTGGACTCTGTAGCGGTGGCGGAGGGGACAAGATGGGAATCAAGCAGCTTCAGGATCCCATCACAGATCTTGCTGAGCTCGGCCTCCACCTTGCCGCGGTACTCCTTGATCAACGCCACGTGATCCTCGTTCCCGCGGCTCTCCTCCTTCTGTTCGATGGAGGAGACAATGCGCCAGGACGCACGGCGCGCTCCGATCACGTTCTTGTAGGCCACAGAGAGAAGGTTGCGCTCCTCCACCGTGAGCTCCTCCCCGTTGATCGTCTTCACCACCTTCTCCATGAACTCCACCATCTCCTCGTACCGTTCCGCCTGCTCCGCGAGCTTGGCCATGTACACATTGCCCTCGCGCGACGATTCCACGGGAGACATTTTGCTAGGTCTCTATTCAAGAAAGTTCCTCTCTGTATATCCGCAACACCAGATCGGCATCAAATGTTAGCCCATCATCAAATTCACACTTCATTAGGCACCCAAATCTAGAACAATGAAGACCAATTTTGAGCCAGTAATGAAAATAAATAAGATGGCACACGGATCCATCAGCTAGAAGGATCTTAAAATCTTCCCCAAGTAATGCAACTATTCGATTTCAAGAAGAAGAGTTGACCATAGTGAAGAAGAAATCATGCGTCGAATTAACTCATCAAGACAAATGCATCGCATACTTCCTTCCAGAAAACGATCAAGTAAACAGGATCTTGTGGAAGCACAGCCAACGAGAGCGACAAGAAGATTCCCGTTCCACCGAAGCGAGACGCTTAGGGTTCTTCTTTCTTGTCCGAGATGAGTTAAGCCGCCCGATCGATCTCCATTTGTTGCTCGGGTTGGAGAGGTATATGGTGATCAGAAAAATACATCTGGTACCCTTGCATCAGGTACCTACAATCAAACTCTCCTTGTGATTGGACTAGAATTGGGGCCACGTCATTGCCCAATAAAAGAAAAGGTGCACCGTGGAGTAGATTTACAACCAGTAGGAAAAGAGTTTTTGGGAAATAGAGGGTTAGTATTGTGTTTGGGTCCTTCGGATGCGGAGGGTCGAATACGTGGTCGGAGTAGAAGGCGACTTCGGGTGGCCAGCTCACGAGGCACGACAACCGCTCATCGCTGGGTCCACCGGCAACGCGGCCAAGCAGAGTCGCCCGATGCGGTGGTCCCAACCTGACCGACAGCCCGCGTCATCCGGGCACTGGAGTGGGCAAGGATCCCCTGTTTCACCCAGTCACGGGCGTCTTTATCCTCCCACAGCAGCCGCGCCGCACACGTCGAGCTAACGTCATAAAGCCCTCTATGACGTCTACTACGTTCTCAGATTAATCGTACACGAACCCGAACCCGAACCCGAACCCGGTTAGGTATCTTATATAATGTACCAAGTCATTGTCTTAGGTTTAAAGTGCGATAGATTAAAATAAATACCTGATAAAAATTGATACACTGTTATTATCATTCAATAATGAATATAGTATCACTCTACTTTGAGTCCGAATCCAACTATTTAGTTACTTAAATGTGAATCCAATATCGGATCCGGGTACCTATTTTTTCATTCAAATTCGTATCAAATCCAATTAAGAGATACCCGGATCCGGTTTATCGATTACTTAATTGGATGAGTTGGCCCAGCCCATAAATCGGACTGGTCTTTCATTGCGGGCCTGCCAAGGACGGCGGAATTCGGGGATCCCTTCCTCTCGGACAAAAACCCTAAGCTGCCGAGCGCCGATCTCATGGCGGTACTGCAGCTCTTCCTGCTGTCGCGTCGTCGTCCCCAACATCTGCGGCTGCTACATCTGGCGCCTCGACTAGGCCAACGTCTTGAAGAAACAATGGTGACCAAGAAATACCTTACACTATAACCTAATGCATTATAGTTTGCGAAATATTTCTTGGTTTTGTAGTTGGGCATTTAATCTTCTAATCTCCATCCATTGTAGTGTATTTTACACGACAGTCTAAGAGTAGTTCCATTTCTCAATGTTATGCAAATCTACAGTTGAAACCCTGAAGCATTCTACTTAGTCTGCCAACAAATGAACTGTAATATTTATATTGAAAAGCACAATATATTGTGCTCGAGCTGCTATAAATCATCTTCATTTTCACATTTAATTTATGAAATCTTTGTAATCTTTTATATATCGTGTATTGATTTTGTAGTTTTGAAAAATTAGATATGATACACAGTTTATTCTGGCGTCATGTTGTTTTAACTTCATTTCCAATGGATTTCACTCTGTGAGACTGTATTGTTGTAAAGATTTGCAGATCATGAGTGTGTTTTCCTTTCTCATACTTTCTGGTTTCATCTTCAAAATTCTTGACCTCAGGTTGCACTGGGTGTTGATTACAGTTGTAACATGTATATGTTCCAGCTAAAGGTGAATCCCAAGGGGCTAGTTGGATGGTCTATCTTGTTGAGTTTCCTTGGATTTTAAACTGCATTTGCTGTGTATGTAATTTAGTTTGAGAGTAACATCAACTCAAACTACAAATTTAGTTTAAGAGTGAGATTTGATTCATAAAGTCTGCTTTGTTATTAGCATGTTTGGCATAAAAAATGTAATTTTTTGACTAACATAATAACCATGAAATAAGCATTAGAAAAATTGTAAGGTTGGGGATTATAGGGAGGATGAATAGATAGATAATTTTGAAATAGTTACTAGTGCAAAATTAAAATTCAACAATAAAGTCTTCTGCGCCAACTGATCACGTAACTACCAATGCCACATTGTTAGAGATAACCAGTCCTTATGTATATTGACTCTGTTATGTTGTTCCATGTTTTAGCTATCATTTCACAGAAAATAAAGTTGAAGGTAAGGATGGCAATTTCAACTTGAAGCACAGTACACTGGTTTCATTAGTTCCATGGGATTAGATCTGACCAGCTTTGGCTGATGAATAGTTAAGAGATCATAGCATATATTTCTATAGTCAGATCAAGTCGATATCACTTTTCTCCACCTTGAACTTATCCCTTTATAAATTTATTTATGTCAGCCTGATCAAGAAAAAAAACTGATTCCAAACATTTTTCATGTGATTATTTCTTTAGCTAGGAGGGGTCTAGACCAATTTTTCAAGTGACCAGATGCAATGATATGAGTAAAATCACTGACCTCTGTCCCATTTGCCATCCCCATTCAAGGAGGGCAAATAATCATGCAATTACTTTTTTAGCACAGAGCTGATATATTAATAATTATTACAATTAAGAAAATAGAATGTGATTTCATTGGTAGTTTTTAAATTGTAATTTATGCACAGGAAAGAAATGTAATGTGATAAGAAGTAGCTTAACAATTTTGAAAGTGACATTGTCTTGGCTCTTGGAGTCACCACAGGACTGTAGTGATTGGGGTAAGTATGGATATTGACGGCAGTGGGTTATTCCTACCGAAATGGAGAATCTAGTGACACCAAAATAAATGCAAAATTTCTCAATAACAACAGACCAAGTCCCTCTCCGTTAACATGAATTTTCTTGAATAAGACAATTGAGTGAAATATGGTCCCTCTCAGACCGTATTCCACCAGTGAAATATGGGCTGTGATGCTGACTGTGGTTTCACACTTCCATCAGAGGATTATTTGAGTCCGTGAGCTTCAAATTCATAAGGTACATATATTTATTTACAGACAAGAATTACTGCATCTTTTGAACTGATCAACTTGGTAGTCTCAGCCAAGCAACACAAAAACTTCTCTCAACCAAAGGAGAGTTCAAGTGTTGAAATCTTTGTTCTCAGGGAGTTCAAATACTAGAGTCCAAATTTTCATATGAGGGTTAGGCCTTTGAATGTCTCCATAATTTCTCCATTTCCTTAGAAAGAAAAAGGAGGAGATAGCTTAGAAATTTGTTAGAGTGCCCTGACCTAAATTATTATATCATGACGCAAGTGTTATATGCCATGGACCACCATGTTTTCAGGTTATTTATCAACTCAGCTACTCATTTACAAATTACAAGCGCAGCATGTTGTGAGTTGTTCCTGATTACTTGTTTTTCACTTTCTTGTATTTCTCTTGCAGCAAAAGTTTTGTGGTTTTTTATTTCATAATTCATGTTTTAATACATTATTTTTTAAGGTTTGAGACTATTTGATCTTGTCATCCTGATTGTTGAAGGATGAACCATCGACATATTCAGTCTGAACTTGGAAAAAGAATCTAATTGGCTCCTTTTCTTGTGGTTCTCAACTTCATCCTTGGGTTAGATCATACTTCAATTAAGAAAAACCCTTGAAATTTTTTCTTCGACATGCACCCAATCTTCCTCCCTTTATGATTTATACATTAGCACATGTTGCTATTAGACATAGCATGTTTAGTTCTGGTATGAACTTCAGCTTTTAAATGATTTATCTTCTACTTCTTTTGGCTCACCATTCCAATCACTTGGTAGGGATTCCCATGGAAATGCTTGCATCCAAGGGTTGGTCAGAACACTGCATGCCTCAGATGGCCTCCTGAGACCGCGTGGGCAACCGCAGACCTCTTGCTATTCTTGTGGCCTTGTGGCCATCTATTAGCTGATAGCTAAGAAGGAATAAGGCTCTTACTGAAAGACCCACAAGAATGAAGAAGGATGCAGCTGTCATACACCATATTCATGCTCGGATCTCCACATTCTCCGACCTCGTCTGGTCTGTGAATGATGCAGCCTTCACAAAGGAAGTAATAATTGTGCAGTTCTGCTGGCCTCTTCTGTTGAGTTGGCTGTATAAGAACAGGGAGCTAACGGGCACCATGAGCTGATGAATCACTGACAGCCACACCACACGAACAAAGAGCTTGCCCTTTAACCATCTGAATCCTCGAAGTGCCAGAAGATTTGCATTGCGTGTTTTTCTACAGTTCATACAAGTGGCATCTGCTCCTCCTCCCTTGGTGATCAACCACGTATGGAAGGAACGAGATCATCTTTTCCTGGTGGGGCAGCCATCTCATTCGTACAAGTGGATAAAGACATCAAATTGATTGGCCGTGGTGTCATTACGTGATACATAGTTCTTGATCAAGAAGGTGCATAGTCGTGTCAATTTAAGGAAGATTTACTGCTGTTATTGCCATCCATCTTTACTACTAGTCATCTTGTACTCGAAACAAAAGGTTTTTATTTCTTGTTATATAAGTTTACTTACAATGAAGCATATTATCATCCATGCACGCTTGAAATGTGTTCTATGGACAAAGATGAATGCAACACATGATACACTTTTTAACTTCAAGTTTCTTTTCTAACGAGTAATCTGAGACTTCTTTCAGGGACACAATTATGCGACCCGAAGATACCCAATACTCTGTGCAGGACATACTGCAAATCCATGGATGACATGACTCCCTAGGTTGTACTCTGTGCTCTTCAAGTTTCCCCAACATGAAGCATCCAATAGCTTCTTCTTTTCCAAGCTAACGGTGCTTGAAACCGATCAGGCCCATATTGCTGGCCGCTACACCGATGGCATGTAAAAAGGAGGCATTTCTTTTCACCGTCCCAGATCCCGACGGCAAAGCTAGCAGTGGTCGTGGGGGACCGGAGAAGGGCCGAGAGGTGGTTGCGTCGAGCAATCGTTGCCGACGGAGAAGGCAAGACAAGGACCATGTAGTCCCCTCACAAGGAGTTGGGAAGCAGTGACGGGGATTCCCTGTTCCCTGTCTCGCTTGAGATAGGTGGACGGAGCTCCTCAGGAAGAAGGGTGACGGCGACGGGCGATCGAAAGGGTCCGCCACGGCGCGCGGGCCCCGCGCGGAATCCGACCAATGGACCTTTCGCCCAATAGCATTCCGAGGTAGCGGATGCCCTCACCATCTCGGCCAAT